CCTTGTCCTCTCCCTCCCTGTCCTTGCTCCAGCAACCTGATCCCTTAAACCCACTGTGGGTTGATGGTGCAAAATCCTGCAGGACTGGTCTGCAAATGCCAACTGGCTTGTCCAAGCTAGAGGGCACCCCTGAATCCATCAGGGGATCCTTCTGCCCACCCTGGGCTGATGGAGCAGTGAAGGAGCTGATGATGGAGCAGTGAAGGAGCTGATGGAGCAGTGAGGGAGCTGATGATGGAGCAGTAGAGGAGATGATGGAGCAGTGAAGGAGCTGATGGAGCAGTGAGGGAGCTGATGATGGAGCAGTAGAGGAGATGATGGAGCAGTGAAGGAGCTGATGGCTGCAGGACACCAATGCCAGTCCCAGTGGCTGGGCCAGGGGGTCCCCAGCCCTTTGACACCCCCTCCCACCAGCTGAGCAGGGCTGGGATCTGGGGAAGCGATGCAGGGAGATTTTACTTGGCTGAAACCTTTTTAATTGGGAAGGAAATTGGTTTCTCTTCCCAGCAGGAGGTTCAATCTTGAAATGCACCTGCTGGAAAATTACATTTTTCTAATTGCCTTCCTTTCTTTTTTTTTTTTTTGTCATCCCTGTTCCCAACCCATGGTGGCTGTGGGGATGCCCAGGGCAGTGTGCTGGGCACAGTGGGCACCAAAACCCCCCCGAGCTGGGTTGGCAGCAGCTTCTGAAGCAGCAGGTGGTTCAGCCCCAGCTCCCTGAATGTCCCCAAGGCCACCGTGTTCCCAGACCCTTTGGTACAGGAATGATTGTCACCCCAGCCCTTCACCTCCCAGGTGCTCTTGTGCCACGGAGCAGTTTTCTTTTGTGCAGGAAATGAGAGAAAAGCCTCAATTTCCTCTTTGACTCCCCCAGCAGCTCTTGCTGGGGCTGCAGGAGGCCCAGGGCACTGGGGGCACTGAAGTTGTTTTGCAACCAGGGTCACACTGCCCTGTGGGGTGGGTGCTGGGAGAGCCTCTGGGGAGCAGCAGGGGGGGGAATTTCGGGGTGTAGAGGCTGGGAACTGGCCCAGGGTCTTTTCCTCCAGCAGATGGAGGTCTTGCTTCTCTTCCACCAGCTCCCGGTCCCCAGCCCAGTTCCATGCTGGGAAAGCTGGGACTGGGGCTGGTGTGAGGACAGGCCAGTGACTGAGCTTGTGGGGAGGGAAAAGAGGGGGCTTGGGGGGGGGTTTAGCAGCCCCTTTGTTGGGGATACAAGGACAGATGGTGCCCAGGCAGCTGGGCAAGGGGATCACAGGATGTCAGGGGTTGGAAGGGACCTCTGAAGATCATCCAGTCCAACCCCCCTGCCAGAGCAGGACCAAAACCAGGGCAGGACACTCAGAAAGGCATCCAGACAGGGCTGGAAAGGCTCCAGAGAAGGAGACTCCACAGCCTCTCTGGGCAGCCTGTCCCAGGGCTCTGTCACCCTCACACCAAAGAAGCTCTTCCTCATGTTGAGCTGGAACTTCCTGGGCTCCAGTTTGAATCCATTGCCCCTCGTCCTGTCCCAGGGCACAAGTGACAAGAGCTTGTCCACCAGGGCTGAGCAGAGGGGGATGAGACCCTCCCTGACCTGCTGGACACACTCCTGGTGCACCCCAAGATACCATTGGACTCCTTGGCTATAGGGACACATTGTTGTCCCATGGGGAACTTGTCCACCAGGACTCCAAGGTCCTTCTCCACAGAGCTGCTCCCTAGCAGGTCACCTTCTAGGATGGCCCAGTCCCTCATGGGGATGGTGATGGCAGCCTGGCCAAGGGCAGGGACACTCTCACATGGGGCTGCTGGGATGGGAAAGGGGACCAAGAAGGTCACTTCAGCCTTTCTTAAAACAGGGACCCCCTCCAGTGCTGCTGGCTCCTGCCCCTTGGCCCTCTGTGCCTCAGTTTCCCCAGGCAGAGAGCTGCAGTGCAGACCCCCCCCCAGTGCCCAGTTTTCCAGCCTCATGGAAGGGTTTGGCTCTGCATGGGAATCCTTTCTTACCCCTGAACCCTGAAAACCTGTCCCCCTGCCCCCCAGTTTCCCTGCCAGCAGCAGGTGAGGTGCTGCCTTTGCACCCTCCAGCTTCAGGGCAGCCTTAGAAACACTCTATTAATAATTAAGAGCAGCATTAATAGCAATGGCAGCCTGTCCTCACTGCCCATCATTAATTAATTGATCAGCTGGGCTTTGGTGCCCTCTGGCAGCTGCTTTGGTGTGGGGTGATGGGGGGGTTTGTGGGGCAGCTGATGGGCTGCAAATCCCTTGGGAGCATTTTTTTTTGGGGGGGCAGGAGGGGGTGGGATTGACATCTCCTGACCCCTGGGGGT